AAATGTGATCAATTTTGCTGATTTTGTGATCATTTTGGATTAACCAAATGCAATTTTTTTTTTTTTAAATCAACTTAATTTTTTTTAAGAAACTATAATAATTTTTTTTTTATTTCTTACAATTACCTATTTTATATGAGTAACACCTTAAATAAAGTCTAAATTATTAAAACAAATTAGCTTCAGGGCCGACGACTTCGGGGGGGGGGGGGGGAAGGGTCAGAAGCACGTGCCCCCCCCCTACTTTTTTGGTTTTATTTGGTTTTTAATAACTTTTTTTAAGTCTTTTGGTAATCCATAGAATATTCAAGGTTTTCGGTTTTGTTATTTTTTATTATTATTATAGGGGAGAGTGACCCCACCAATTTTAGGGGAGAGTGAGCCCACCAATTTTAGGGAAGAGTGAGCCCACCAATTTTTATAAAATCTAACTGATCTTATGAGTCGTGCGTTAGGTTTACATAATTTTTTCACTATCGGAAAGATAATTAAACCAACTAAAAATTGATTATTTATAATGTATACTTTTGATTTTGATATACTTTTGATTTTTCTGCCAAAAAGTTTACCAATCTGCTCAACCTACCGTAACAGGGTACGTCGAGCAACTGTGTAGGGAAAATTGAGCAACCAATGAATAAATTATTATGCATAATATGGAATTTAGATAAATCAATTTATTATTATAATTATTATCATACTTATTATAATAAATGATTATACAATTGTTATAATAAATTTAATATGGATTTTAGAAAAATCCATATTAAAAAAAATCCATATTAAAGGAGGGCCGACAACAAAACGACAACAAAAAACTATAAAGAGGGCCGACGACAAAAAAACATCTAATAATGCAATCGGTAGAGGTAAATAATGCCTATGAACTATTTCTTAAATTTTTTTGTGAGCAATATGAAAAAGCTTTTCCGAAGAAAAAAATTGTTATAAAAACCAAGTCATATGAAGCTCCATGGATGTCTAAAGGTTTATTAAAATCTTCGAAGAAAAAAAAAAAGTTGTATGAAAAATTCTTAAAAAAAAAAACGTATAAAAATGAAACAAACTACAAACTTTATAAAAATATATTTGAAAAAACTAAACAACAATCAAAAAAAATTTACTATACTAAGTTGTTTAAAAAAACTAACGGAAATGCCAAAAGTACGTGGAGCGTAATTAAAGAAATTATTGGCAGAAAAAATAATGGAATATGTATTCAACCAAAGAAATTCTTAGTAGGTGGTAAAATAATATATGACAAGTCAATAGTAGCTGAAAATCTAAACAGCTTTATTCTTAATATTGGTCCAAACTTAGCTGAAAAAATTCCTTCAAGTTCATCATCGTTTGATTCTTATTTAAAAACATATGATAAGGTCAAACGAATCTAAACTAGATATTAATGAGTTACGATATGCTCTAGATAATCTTAAAAGCAACACAAGTGTAGGTTTTGATTATGTTAGCATAAATGTTGTTAAGTCAGTTTTTCATATTATAGAAACCCCTTTATATCACATTTTTAATCTTTCTCTTCAATCTGGAACAGTTCCAGAAAAATTAAAAACTGCACGGGTCTTGCCTATTTTTAGGTCTAGCGATGACACAGATTCTTTAAATTATAGACCAATATCAGTTTTACCATGCTTTTCTAAGTTACTCGAGCGTATAAAGCGTATAAAAAAACTTGAACATTATGGAATAAAAAAAACAGACAGCAATACATTCAATATGAAAATGTTAAAACGACAAAAAGTATAATAAAATGTGGAGTTCCTCAAGGCTCAATCTTAGGACCGTTACTGTTTTCTCTTTATATAAATGATCTATCTCTTACCTCGAACATACTAAACTTTATTTTGTTTGCGGATGACTCCAATCTGTTTTATTCTCATAGGGATATCAAAACCCTTTTTAAAGTAGTTAATAAGGAAGTAAACAAAGTAAATGAATGGTTTATTTGTAATAAACTTTCACTTAACGTTAACAAAACTAAATTTATTCTATTTCACAAACCAACCAAAACAAGAAACCTTCCTTTAAAATTACCCAATCTTAAAATCAATAATATAAATATTACTAGGCAAACAACTGTAAACTTTTTAGGTAATATTTTAGACGAAAATTTAACATGGAGGAAACATATAAACACTCTTGAAAGAAAACTTTTAATAAACATTGCAATGATGTATAAAACAAAACCATTTTTGGATATAAGATCTCTAAAAAGTTTATATTTTTCCTTCATACATAGCTATCTAACTTACGGCAATATCGTTTGGGCAAGCAACAACTACGCTAAGTTAAAGAAAATTTATACTAAACAAAAACATGCATGTAGAATTGTATTTGGAGTAAAAAGAACTGTGCCTTGTGAGCCACTTCTACGTAAACTCAATGCATTAAATGTGTTTATAATTAACATATTCCTTGTCATACAGTTCATGTATCAAATAAAACATGGACTGTCTCCAGCGATATTCTATCCTTATTTCAGAGAAGTAAGCCATAAATACCCCACCAAAATAACTTTGTTACTCAAAAGTATAATCTAAAGTTATGTTCTTATTCTATTCAGTACCGGAATCCAATTTTGTGGAAAAACTTTCAGCATATTGTTAATATTAAAGAAAAAACATTTCCGCAAATTAAGACGTTATTTAGTACTTACGGATTTTAATATAGCAGATCTTCTATGTCACTTTTAAAGTTTTAAAATTTATTAAACTAAATTAGCACCATAAATTTAAAAATCTAGACCATTTAAAAATACTAAGAACTTCAATGTCTTTACCATACTTTCATTGAAAATATATATTCTCTTAAAGTTACCTACAATTTTCTTAACATATTTTATAATATTGAAACAGAATTTTTATTTGAGTTTTGAATTATTTTGAAAGAAAATAATATATACAAATATATATATCGAATCACATCCAATTTATAACCAAAAACAGAAATTTTTTGTCATTTTCATTACTATATTTTAATCATTTCTTTTTCTTTTTCTTTTTTTTTTAATTATTTTAATACTTTTTTTTTTTCTTTTTAATTTTGTTTCTTAACATTTTAAAATTGTCTTTTTTTAAATGCTTTTGCTTATATATTACGGATTATTATATATTACGGATATTTATTTGCGTTACTATTCGGGCTCAGTGATAAGGCTATTTTATGCCTTCTTCTTGCTCCAGCCAATTGTACTTTTTATATTCTTGTACTTTGTGAATATTTTTAACGGCGAAATAAACTAATAAACTAAAAATTAAACTAAACACGGGTATCGAAATGGGGGCACAATTGTCAATTTATAAAAAAAGTTTTCTATAGCTTAAATTTTTTTTTAAAAAGGTCTTTTAGAAAAAAATTAGAGAAGGGAGCGCGTGAGCCCTGTCCCCTCTAATTTTCCAATGTAACTCAAATTGATATTGGTCTGATATGTTGAAGTTAATAAGTTTCCAATGTAACTCTAATTGATATTGGTCTGATATGTTGCAAGAATGTTATTAATGAACGTTGATGAGTTTTCTGTTATTCTAGTATCGCATTTGATTAAGGGACTGGCTCCGATTAAAAAGAACATACTTTTTTTGTTCTTTCTTTTAGTTTACTTCTATTGTGTAGTCACATTTGTATTTAATGATCTCGTTATAAATTTTATTGTAGTTATCTCCGATAGCATTTCCTTAGCTGACAAGACTTAATTAACTTCTAAAATAAGTCAAGTTCGACTTTTCAGCTTTAGAAATGGTATCGGATTTAATAAATCCGATACCATTAATTATTTCATGATCTTGTTTAGTTTAAACGAAATCCTTAAATAAAGTTTATTTAGTTAAATCATTTATTTTTACTTAAACGAGATCATTAAATATAACTGGCAAAAACAAAATATGTGCTTTTTTGAACTCTTTATTAAAGCCAATTGCGCTGCCTGCTTCTTCATTTGGTAAATTTTATTACAAATCGTCACATCAAAAGTACAAATGTTGTCTTTATTGCAAGACAATATTGATATCGTAAAGGTAGATTAGTCAGCAAGTTAGTCTTGATCTACTATTATTGATATTTGTGTTTGGTTTTTGTGTCATTGAAAAGATTAAACATAATTCGAATTGACAAGAAACAGGAATGTAGAGACGGAAATAGGGTTTAATATTTAGTGTTTAATAAATAGAGTTTATTATTTAGCAGCCTTTCTAAACGTTATCGTTTAGGAAGGAGGCGTGAACTTCCAATTAAATGTTTATCCGCGGTGCTCTATAATATGACCTGTAATATAATAGAAGTCCTTAAGACTTCCTTGAGCACCTAAATAAAATGAAAAAAAAAAAAAAAAAATTAAATATTATAATAGCATTATGACAAAAACATCAGAAAAAAGAACTTATTGATCGAATAGATTATTTATTTATCTATCAAAAGTTTGAGGGGATCCTTAGTTTTTGGGTCCTGGTGAAAAACTGCTTCGTTATTTGATTCCAATTGAATTCCATTTTATTTAAACGGAAAAACAATTATAAAGAAGTTATTAAATCGCTTTAAGTGATGCGATTTCAAATTAATAAAAAAAAAATAAGGTAAAAAAAAAAAAACCGGGCCTTAGGAATTCCTGGAATCTTATATATAGCATATAATGAAATGCAACATATAAATATATTTTTTATAATAACCAGATATTTAATAACATAAATAACTATTTATAATAACAAAAATAATAAATTTAATAGTATTTCAAATATCAAATTTATTATTACTATTATTATTATAAATATGGTATTCCGTATTTAAAGTTTAGATTTGATATGTATTATAAAAAAATATCGTATAAATCAAATTATATGTATATATATATATATATATATATATATATATATATATATATATATATATATATATATATATATATATATATATATATATATATATATATATATATATATATATACATATATATATTTTATGTTTTTTTATTTATGTTTTTTACTTTAAAGAATGTACAGTTTTTCCAAACTAAGAAAACTTTATGTGCAAAGTCTATCATGTCAGCTCAGCTCTTATCGCACTATTGAAAATGTTTTAAAGTGCAATGAAAGAGTAGTAGAACCACAAGAAAAAAACGATCTTTATGGTTTTTTAAAAAACCAGTTTATAAAGCATGCTGAAAAAACAGCTTTGGTATATGTTTTGATTTTAAATTTTTATTTCATAATTTTTTTTCCTTTAGATTAGTAATGATTCCAAATATGGTAAAATTATAGCACATTTTTTGTAATAATTTAACTAAACTCCCATAAGAATTATGATTAAAGGTGTGTTGAATTTTATTTTTACTTTTTCACTGGAGGAGTGCTAATAAATTTGGATCTGTATGTTTCTTTTTAACGTATTATACATGTTTTCTTTACTTTTCTGGTTGTAGGCCAGTGAAATAAAGTTTATTAGGCAGAAATGTTGGGCAGTGTGCCCAACATTTCTGCCTAATAAACTTTATTTGAAATTATTTATGCAATAAAAGTCTCTGGTTTTAGACATTCTGCCCCTTAGTTAGACTCCTTTAAACATTTAACAATTGGTCCTTTTTGCAACTCTACACATTATTTATTAAAATATTGAGGACATAAAAATAGTAACAGTCAAAGACTATAGATTTTTTGGTCTTTTAAAAAGCCTTTAGTTATTTTTCATGCATTTTTGAAAGTATTTTAAAATCTTTTTTTTTTATTAGATTGTTTACAAACTCTTGATGATAGCTTTAGTACTAACTACTTGATGGTGACATAAGTAGTTGAGCATAACTACCCTCCCAATAAATTCTTTATTGGGAGGGTAGTTATGCTCAAGGTACTGTTACAACTGCATTAGGATTTCTTTATGAGACTTTATTTAAGACCTCCTTGATTTAAGACCTCCTTGACTTTTTGAATATTAAAAGGAGTAATTTTTATTTCTTTTATCTATATTTTTGCTTAAAAACATTAGTAAAATTGCTTTAGAGTTAGCGATATTTTTACTGTTTTTAAAACAATTTTATAGATATTCAGTTTAGAGACAAAATTTTTAATTCTTGTTTTTATTCAGTTAAAATGATTTTCAGTTAAGAAAATTTTACTTAGTTGAAATGCTGGGTTTAATAGCTGGGTTTAATAAAAAGTAGCAGAGGCCATAGTTGAGCTTGTGCCCTGGGCTGCATTAATGTTGAAACATCTTAAGGGATATTTGTGCTATATACATACATACATATATATATATATATATATATATATATATATATATATATATATATATATATATATATATATATATATATATATATATATATATATATATATATATATATATATATGTATATATATATATACATATATATATATATATATATATATATATATATATATATATATATATATATATATATATATATATATATATATATATATATATATATATATATATATATATATATATGTATGTATGTATATATATGCATATGTTTATATATATTCTTAATTAAATTCTTCTTCAGCCTGTGGTTCACACAAGATTTCATTGTCTTACAAAAGTGTGAGCTGGTAATAAGTGCTAAATAAGTAGCTCTCATTTTAAATATCTCTAGGAAACACTCTAACTATCCACTCCAACTATCCTATGATTAGTCTTCACTCTATTATTACTTTCTTTATTTAAAGGTTTTGAGATTATTATATTATTTCTTTCTATCTGCAGTATTAAAATTTTTTTTGAAGACCTACACTCTTCCTCATTTCCAGTAACTTTAATAGTACTGCAAAGTTCTATCTTTGCTCTTGTTTTACTTCTTATCTATATTAACAATCTTCCTGAAAATCTAAAGTGGATCTGTTTGGTGACAACTCAACTTTATGCTCTTTTCTTGACAAAAAGTTTTAGCTTTTTGATTGCTTAAAACAAACAGCCAATTTTAAAACTTATCTCTCTTCTGTAACAACTTGGGGCTTGCAGTGGTTTGTGGATTTTGTGGATTTTGTATGGGTTGTTTCATCTACTTGCTGTTTTGCTAGTTGCTGGAGCAATTTCAACAGAAACAATATCTGCACTTGCTAAAGGTAAATTATTTTGCAAAGACTTTTTGGCCTCTTACAAAATATATGCTTTTGCACAGTTTCTGAATTTTGTATTTTTCAACATATAACAGAGTTTTTAAATTAACATTGCTATCCTAAACATTTTTTTTTTATTTGCATCCACTCCCAACAAGGCTGCAAGCAACTACTATTAAGTTGGGAGTTACTAGGAAAAAAAAGAACAGAGTTATAGAGCAAGGAAACGGTTGACAGAAGACTTGAAAAGGTGAAGGTTGTATGAGTCAGGAAAACATGAAGATGGGAGAGAGTTCCAAAGGATTGAAGTGCGGGGAAAAAAACTAGATGAATAAAAGTTTTTAGAGCATGCAGGGACAGATACAGTAAACGAATGAGACTTAGCTGAATGACGAGTAAAACAAGAATGAATTTTAGTTGATGGAACTAGAGATGATAACTCCTTTGAGCAGTGACCATGATAGTATTTGTAGAAAAGAGAAAGAGATGCAACTTTACGACAATAGAAAAGAGGCTCAAGCTTTACAGATAGTCCAGGTCCAACAACATTTACAATGCGTTTTTGGACCTTGTCAAGAAGAGAAAGTGAATCGTTAGAAGAACCAGCCCAAATATGACAGCATGTATTCCTGTATTCCATACAGGGATGAATAAGAGATTTGTAGAGGTAGAGAATAAAATCAGAAGTAAGGAAATGGCGAGCACGATAAAGAGAAGCAACCTTAGCAGAAGCTAATTTAGCAATTGATTGTATATATGGTTTCCATGAAAGGTCAGTAGTAAGCGATAATCCAAGAAGACATAAAGAGGAGGACTCAGTAAGAGGATTGCCATTCATTAATATAGGAATGTTAACCATATTACGGTAGTTGTTTGCAGTAAACAACTGGGTTTTATTTGACTGGTAGTTTATTTGACTCAAGATGAGATGTAAGGAATTTGTTGATCAAAGACTCAAAGACCTTGCTAATAACAGAAATAAGACTGATCGGACAATAATTGGAGGGGTCAGAATTTTCTCCAGAGTTTTTGAATATTGGAACCACAGATGCCATTTTCCAACAAGACTCAGTCAAACACTTGTTAAATAGTTTAGAGAGAATTAAAGAAAGTTCTGGAGAACAATTCTGCAAGACTGTGACAGGAATGTCGTCTGGACCACAAGCTGTAGATGAGTCCAATTGAGATATGACTTAAGCAACAGAATCCGGAGTGATTTGAATGTCTAACAATGGGTCAACCTGTTTGACTGTAATGGAAGGAAGAGAATGTCCATAAGATTCAAGAGTGGAATTAGAAGAAAAGTTCTTTGCAAATAGTTCTGCCTTATCCTTGGGAGAGGTAATAAGATCAGTCCCATGAATGAGAGATGGAATGTTAGATCTACCCTTGTTAATAATGCTGTGGAAAATTTTCCAAAAGTCTTTAGAGCCTAACTTCTGTAATAAGATGCGAGATTTAGTGAACTGAGAATAATGGAGTTTAGCATCAGAAAGCACATTTTTACATCGATTTCTTGCAATAATAAATAGCCGTTTGTTCTCAAGAGAGTTGTTTTTTTGAAAAAGATGAAAAAAAAATGCTTACGATTGGATATAGCAGCCGCACAAGAAGGAGAAAACCATGGAGTAGAATGAGGCTTGACTTGAAACCGATGAGAAGGAATAAAACCTTCCATTCCAGCCTGAATCCAGGAGGTTAAGTAGGAGGCGCATTTATCAGCTGAGAGAGAAAAAACATCAGCCCAAGGACCATCACGAAGAAAATCATGAAAAGAATTCCAGTCAGCTTTAGGGTAGTAGTAGGTGGTGCGATGATAAGGTGAGCCCAAAAAAGAAGTACGAGAAGAAAGATTTATAGAGATCATTGCATGGTCAGAACCACCTAAGGGAGAAAAGGGAGAAACTGAACATAAGCTAGGGTCAGAGACAAGACATAAGTCAAGGAGTGAAGGTAAATGATTAGGGTTGTCAGGAAAACGAGTCACAAAATTAACTATCTGAGTAAGAGATTGAGAAACACAGAAGTTAAAGGCTTTAGTGCCAGCAGGATCAGTGGTGTTAGAGCCAAATCATTTAGTGTAATGGGCATTAAAATCACCAACAACAACAATATTGGCAGAGGGGTAAAGAGAGAGGGCATGGTCAATTTGATCAGAGATAACATCTAAAAGAGTGCAATCATGGGAAGAAGAAGAACGATAAAGAACAAAGAGAAAGGTGATGGAGTGAAGAGGTGCTAGGCGAAAGCACATAAAAGAATGGTCAAAGGATTCGAACCTGATTTCATGACAAATAGGGGAATTAATGCGTATGTATACCCCTAAACCTAGCATGTGACTATTGGAGTCTTTACGAATCAAAGGATAGTACCCATCAACACTGACATCTGAAGAAGGAATTGCAGAATTTAAATTTATTTCACTGAGTGCAAGCAAGTCTGGTGAAATTTGCAGGAGGTAAGACTCAACTAACGGAAAGTTGCTTCGCAGACCGCGAATATTTGTAAAAGATATATTAAAACATTTAGGTGGTGGGGATGGTTTTTTAGGTTTAAAATTTTTGGTTTCTTTTGTCATGATTTGGGTTTAATGAGAACTTGACTCATTCATAGATAGAGCACAGCCTCCTAATCAATGAGCTATGCAGTTGTCTCAGTCCTGTTAATTAACCCTAAGCTGTGACATAGGGCTCCTTATGTGGCCTTGACAATGCACACCAAAAGCATTAACAGGGGCACCATCCATGCGCAATATGGCACTGTTAATACTCTGATATTTTGCAGCTGTTGATGGAATCAGCCTCTCTGAGAGCTATCACAGAGTTCGGGAAACTTTACTACCAGTCGGCCTCAGAACCATTAAACTGAGTTTTAGAGCTGTACCCTCATATGGAGATAACAGGAAGAGTTGCATAGCTATTATTAAGGAGGCATAAGCAAAATTCTATGAGTAGAGTCAAGGAGATCCAGCATTCATCATCCTAGGCAGGAAACAATTTAACACAGGTTACATCTACGCTAGCCTAATAGATGAAGAAGGGGTTCGAGGCTGGTTAGTAGAATTTTTCTGCTTACCCCTAAAGTCTTTGCCTAGTAGGCCTTCTACAAGACAGTAGCCGGTTGCAGTTAACATCTGCCCAAGATGAGTATTTTTATCAAGACACCATCTCTAGCCTTTACTCAACCAAGAGCCCCAAGGCAGGGGATGTTTAACTGGATGCAGTTAACATCTGCCTAAGATGAGTGTTTTTATCAAGACACTATCTCTAGCCTTTACTCAACCAAGAGCTCCAAGACAGGGGAATTTTTAGTCTGAGTTTATTTCTCCTAGCCTTTGCCTAAGAAGAGCACACTCTGCAAGGCAGCAGGGTTTGTGGCAGGGGGTACTGGGTTATGTGATACCAGTAGCAAGATTGATCTTGATTATCCTGACCTGACCTGGAGTAGTTAAAAGGAGTTTCTTCCTGCAACAGTACTTTGAGTAAACCAGCCATGACATTCTGGAAGTGCATTAGGAAAAACACTGCATCTAACAAAATACAGGAGTCTAAGGTGAGTGTAGGTTTAGTAGTTGGATTAAGTAGCTAGTTACTGAGCTCACGTTGCATCATAGAATAAACAGAACACAAACAAACATAAATCAACTTACGGGTGAGTCAACACCACGTCAGAGGTTCAGACAGAACACAAACATACATAAAAAACATAAAGTAACTTACGGGTGAGCGAACACCGCGCCAGAGGTTCAGACAGAACATACATATAAAGTAGATTACAGGTGAGCTAATACAGTAACTAAGGCACCTCCAACTATATAAAAAAGTATATATTACTATAGACATGACTGATATAAGATAGTACTGATGAAAGGAAGCACACTCCTTCCAGCCTTTGCTTAGAAAGCAAATCCTGCAAGGCAGCAGAGCATGGAACAGGTTGCACTGGGTTACATGTTACCAGTAGCAGGATGATCATGAAGACCGTACTCCTGACCTGACAAAAACATGATACCAATTTTTAAAATCTATTCTTCCAATATATAATACATGTAAAATATTCTATATGTATTATATAAGACATAATGATATATTATACATGCTAAAATATTATTTTATAAATAAATTTTTTTTTTAACTGGCAACGTTAGCATGGCCAAGTGGATTCTGCTTTAGGCTAGTAAACCAAGGGTTCCAGGTTTGCTTCTTGGTATCAAAATTAATATTTCTCTTTTTAGTTTGTGAACAAAGATTGCTTTTTGTTGCTGCACATTTTTGTATACCAACTATATACCAACTAAATAAAGTTCTGCACTTGGACCATATAAAGTCAATGTCGAATATATATATATATATATATATATATATATATATATATATATATATATATATATATATATATATATATATATATATATATATATATATATATATATATACATATATATATATATATATATATATATATATATATATTTATATATATATATATATATATATATATATATATATATATATATATATATATATATATATATATATATATATATATATATATATATATATATATATATATAATCACATTCTAATCATTTTTCTAATTCTCTAATATCTATTCTTCAGCCTTACCACTTTTGTTGACAATATTTTCCAATTTTACAGAAGGTTTGCAAATTTTGTCTACTGATTAACTATTTTTAAATATAAGCCATGATATTCACCATCATATGCAAGTTTTATAACTAATTGTATATATGTGCAAGGCATCACAATCTTCTAAACGTTTTTAACTATCATATCAACTTGTTCCTATCTTGCCATAATTTTTTGTTTTGCTATTTTCTTGTGTTATGCTCTTTAGTAACCTTATTTACTAAATCTTTAAAAAAAATTTATTCCTCAATTTATTTATAATAATATCAATTATATTCCAAAATGATATATATCAAATAATATTCCAATGTTTTGAGCATTTTTCGAAACAATCAGCATTTTTTTCACCTTTATGTTGATGTTTTGCAAGATAGAAGTATAGGATATATTGGTTTTTAGAATTTGCTATGAAAAACAAGTAAAAATTAAAAAAAAAAGTTGTAGTAAAGTCTTTTTTAGCCTACCTATTCAATTTGGCTCCATAGTTGTCTATGGTATGTTTTATTGGATACCATTTAGGGTAAAGCCAACATGTACCAGACAATTTTGTGGATTTGGAAACTGATGTTTTCCAAAAGTTTCAGATATTATCCATAAAAAGAACATAACCTTAGCAAATAGGTTTTGATATTTTCAAATGCTACAATTTTTTCAAAAATGTCTTTTAAAGCAAGACCAAAGTAAATTGTTAAAATAATTTATTAAAGCTCCTAAACCTGAGAAAGCCAAGATTTACACTTGCTTCCATGTTTAACTGTAAGAGTTTATTCGGCATTGGATGTTTTGAAAGTGTTGGGTGATCAACACTTTCAAATGCTTTAAAGCGGGTTTTTGTGGCGGGTTAGCTTAGTTGGTTAGAGCGTCAAAGGAAAAGTTAAAATCCAGACTGTCGAATGATACGAGTTCAAATCCCGCCACCGCCAACTCAGCGCTTGAGTAGTACTTCGGTACGCAAAAATGTTGGTTAATAACACACGCTGCTTTGAATTAATTTTCATGACTATGGCTGTTCTATGCTAAGCTAACAATATCTTCAAATATAAGAACATAGAAAAATATAGCATGAAAAACTCAAATAATAAAAAAAAAGCCAGTTTTGTTACGCTCTGGCATCACCATAATGAAAGCTTTTAACTGGTAAAAGCTTAACATACAGAAAAATACAAAACATACACTAGCTCTTGTTCAAGTTTAACTGCTGTTACTTAAAATAAAATATTGTTTTTATAAACTCATCTTCAAAATTATTTTAGTGATTTGACCAATGTAATCTGTGAAAATACCAGTGGCTTTATAAGTCACATAATTATATTCAACATCTTTTTTTAAAATTCAATAAATTAGTGAAATAAGTAAATGGGTGTTTCTTTTTTTGTTTCATTCCCCATGGAGGTTAGAACAAACGGATGTAAACTGTAAACAGGTGTAAACTGTCAACCAATAAAGATGTAATAATAAACTATGAATGGCACTCATGCCATTTTTAAATCCTTCAAATTTATATATAAATACTTATAATGAAGTTGCATCCTCTACATTAGAATTAAAAAATTAATTATGAAAAGAAGTCTTTAGAATTAGAATAATTTTATTTTGGTTATTTGTTTCTTTTTAACGTATTATACATTTTTTGGAAATGTTAGTATAGACAGGCACAATTTTCAAAATAGACCAGTTTAATTTAAAATTAATACTTTTTTTTTTTAGTTGTCAAATATATTTTGACAGCATAGTCTCTTTTTTATATTTAAAAGATTGTTTGTGGTTGGCGTAACATTTTTTCCATTCGCTCTCAGTTAAGCTAATATATTGTTTATCAGGGTTAGTTTGTGAGGAAATAATGAATTTGTAAATGATATTTTTTGAGCAGTCAATTTTTTGTTTTATAATTCTTTCAATATTTTTTGTACAGGTATAATTTACTTTTTATTTCTATTAAAATTTTTTGCAATTTATTCGATAGAGGTTTACTATCTTATATAATTTTTTCATTAATAACTAGTTTTGGCAAGAAGCGAATAAAATTTGCAGAAAAAAAAAGTCTATTTGTCTTTTACATTCTTCTTTTACTTTTTTGCTTGAAAAATATCTAGCTTAAATATCAAAAAATAAAGCTGTGTGAATTCCCTTCCCCCCTCCCCATCCCTCCACCCATATTTAAACTTTTCTTGATTAAGTTCACACTATAATAAGTTAAATATAATTGGGTTTACACTATTAAAAAATTTGTTTTGATGTTTTAACTATAAGTTAAATCATCAAAACAAATTTTTTTTTTCATATTTTTTTCAACTTATAACAACACTTTTTTATTTTAGGTTGATGCTATAACAGAGCAAAAGATTAGTTACAATGAAATATTGCGTAATTCAGCAAGCTTGTCTAATTTTTTAAAGTTTCGAAAAATAAATTCAACTGAGTGTGTTGCAACTCATATTCAAAACTGTATTGAATACATATACCTAATAATGGGATGTTTAAAATGCCGTGCCACAATCACTTTAGCTAATCCTGCATACACTCATTTTGAAATTAATAAACAACTTAAAGATTCCAATGCAAAAATCTTGTTCACTAATAAACGTCAGATTGAGATTGCGCGAAAAGCTGTTGAAAATACAAACACAGATTTAGTCATTTGTGTTGATGATTTTACTGTTAATGACTGTGGAGTAATAAATCTGAGTGATATACTACAAAATTTCAATAACAATCAAACAATTACTTCAACTTCTGAACCATATTCACCCACTTCAGATTGTACGCTTCAAAATTCAAAGGTTAATGACATTGCGTTTCTTTTATACTCGAGTGGAACAACAGGATTACCAAAAGGTACAATGCTTACACATTCAAACATAACTGTACATCTTTTACAATTGCTAGAGGCTTTTGAGTGGAATATTCAAGAAAGAATATTAGCTTTACTGCCGTTTTTTCATTGCTATGGATTAATTGTTGTTTTGCTTAAAGGACTGTATTATGGAAGCACATTGTTTGTAGTTCCAGGGTTCGAACCTCATTTATTTCTTAGCACTATTGAAAAATTTCAAGTAAGTCTTGTAAAGTTTAAAAAAGTATAATTTTTTCTTTTCTTAAATTCTTAACTGTCAGGGCTTTGGAGCAGCTCTGGAGCTGGAGCCGGAGCTATCCGGAGCTGGAGATTTTAGACAGAGCTGAGCCGGAGCTGGAACTAAAATATTCCCTGCAAGAGCTGACTCTGCAGCCAGCTCCACTTTTTGATATTTTATAATATCAAATTTCCATAAAGTTATCATTATATACAATGAGATTTTTTTAAAGAGTTTAATCAATTACGCTCATTAAAATATTTATAATTTCTAAATATAGCATTTTTTCATATGGTTTATAAAAATAGTATAAATAGTAATTTCAAAAATTGTACTCGAGCTTTGTTTGAAAATTGTTTTTGTTTACTTTAAAAAAGTCTTAAATAGCCACGGGACTTACAATGTTAGGGGCCGCGAAACAGTCAAGAGGACCATTCGGTATTTTTTTTAGTCATTTTTATGCTGTGGCATATAAAAAAGGCCACCAAAATAATGCAGCCCCCGGCCCTGAAAAGTCCAACAAGATTCAACAAATAAAACTAACGCTAGATGATTTATTTATAAATATAAAAGTTTTTTCAATAACTTTTTAATGCTTTTTTTAGAATTTAATTTTTATCCAATTATTTTGTGTAATATGTCATGTGGTTCTTATTGTAGAGTATGATAAGTAACTTTAAAACTATTTTTGTAAACAATGTCAATTATTGGTTAAGGGGTTGTCCAAATAGTGCGTACCTTTTTATTTTGATCTACCCCCCCCCTCCCCCTCACCCCAATGGCATTTTGCTATGCACTTTTTTGAGTACCTTCTACCTCCCTAAAAGTACCTACTTTTTTAATATACCTACTCAAAATTTTGTGATATTTTTTGAAATTTAGTATCTCCTTATTTTCATAATTGACCCCTCACCCCATTTGAGTGTACGTACTTTATGGACGATCCACAACAAAAAAATACTTTATGTATTAAATCACATGATTTGTTAAACGTTTTTAGCTAGTTGAAACATTTTAAAAATAGATATTCAAATTAAATTAGGAAAAGATTTAAATTTTTTTTTTGAGATTATTGATATTATATTAGTTTATACTATCTTTTTCATTAGGGAAAATTTCATTTTATTATTTCTCTTATCTTTAAAATTTGTCATTTACTTTGTTTTCCATAGTTTTTTCTAAAAATAGCTTCAGACTCAAACGAACCTGAGAGTTTTTAGATTTATCAATTGATAAAAGTACAAAAAGTTGTACATATAAGCTACACGTAAGATTACAGAAAAGATAAATGAAAAAGTGATTTCATGCAACACGCAAATAAAAAAATCAAACGTTTACAATATGAAACTGCATTTGGAAAGATCTCATCTATCAGAATATAAAATTGTTGAATCAGAAATGAACCTTATGGCCCAAATAAATTCTTCAGAATCATTTTTATCACATTCACAAAATTCAATACTAAAAAAACTAAACAGGTTACTTTGTTATCACTGGTAGTAAAATAATAAATTGAGTTAGTGCTAAAACTTTTAAAATAAAAATTATTAAAATGGTAGTGAATAACAGAGTTTTGTTGAAAACATTTGCAGATGAAGGATTTCAGTTGGTTGCAGGCCAATTAGGTAAAACTCTTGGATTCAGTATTGGACACAATTCTGTATGCAATTTGATTAATGAATTTGCTGAAGAAAAGAAAGCTGAAATAAAAGAAATATTGTTACAAAAATTTATTAATGTAAAAATAGATGCAGCTACTTGACAATAAAAGAACTGTTTGGAAATAAATATTCAATATTATTATGCGGGACAGCACAACCCTGCTGCTATCAAAAAAATGGTGAAAAAACTCCAGGAGAGTTCCTAAAGGAATGATTGAAATCTGACCTAGAGAAGAATCAAGGACTAATTGCAGAAGACATTTCAAAATTGATGCAGAAACAAGAAGTAAAACCTTTTGATAATCATATATTTCTAGCTGCAGTTTATGATGATATTTGATATAGAATACTGTTGGCAGGCTTGGTCGGGAAGCGGGTGTGATTGTACTCAATAATTGACCACGGAAATAATATTTAGTTGCGTAAAACCGACAGATTTTTTATTCGTTTTGAGATCATTTCAAAAACAAACAAAAAAGCGCACTAAGATTAACTGGACCGATGAGAGACAGTTAAAAAAAGTAAATACCTTTTAACGCGAAAAATCTTAAAGCAAAATAGATACGATTAGAGCAAATATTTTTGAAATGCCACTTTTTTTTTTATAAATTTAAGCGACATTTTTCATATAAAGTAACAACTTACTATTAATGATTGTTTAATAAAGAAACAAATGTTCTTCGATTTATCAAAGAGTATATATAATTTTAATTTAAATACTTATGTCTTATTTCCAGTGTTGGATTGAGGAGGTGGGGGGGGGATAGAAGGGCTATAGCCCCGGGACTTACAATGTTAGGGGCCGCGAAATAGTCAAGAGGACGATTCCGTATTTTTTTTAATCATTTTTATGCTGTGGCATATAAAAAAAGGCCACCAAAATAATGCAGTTTGAAAAGTTTAACACATTTGAAACAATTCTTCTTAGTAAGATGAACAAATAAAATAATTTAATCATTGAGTTACTGTAGAAATTTAATTAGCTATTTAATTACTTTGTAAGGAGGAAGCGCAACTGCTTTACTGCTGATGATGTTTAGTGAGTGGGCTTTATAATTTTAATTAGTATTTAAAACAGAAAAAAGTAACTTTAAGTTTAAGTATAACCAGTTTGTAAGAATGGCTGAAGCAAAAATAATTGAATTTAGTAAACCAATTTCTAAGAACTTAAAAACTTTTCTTTCTTGGGGAAAGAATCAGTAATCAGGTACACCGAGGAAAATGAATTTGTGGTTAAAATTATTTGTATTAACTTTGATGATTATTAATAATTTCATTGAAAATGCAGTTATTTTTGAAAGTATTTTTGTTTACAAAATCAATCACACAAATTGCTTTAAAAGATTACATTTGAATAAAATACATATACATAAAATTACATACGTAAAATTACATACATAAAATTACATACATAAAAATACATACATAAAAATTATTACATACATAAAAATACATTACATACAAAAAAATATATCCCTTATATATAAAAAATAAGAATGTACTATAAAATCTAAAATATAAATTTAAAACATTTATAGCTTTGTAGATGTGGCTCTGAGAATGAGCCATAATATTAAAATAATAGTTCGTTTGATAGTATATTCTTGAAACAATTTATGCTAGAAATCTCAACGAAAACGTAACAAAATTCAAATAACACAATTTTTAAAAATATGTCAACAGAATACTCTAGAACATTAGGTTAGTATTTTTTGAATACTCTAGAAATTTTGGCTAGTATTTTTTGAACCAATTAGAATTAGTTGTTCGTAGATTTGGAGGGTTTTTTGTGTTAGTGAATATTCTTTTTTTATTTTTCCGCACAAAGATGTTTAAGAGAATTCGAGTTTATGTATGTTTCCATGAAAGTCCGTAAAACAAATTATTTTAAAATTTACGATAAAATAATGAACCTAGTTATTATTTTGCGGAAAAACAAGGAAACATACATAAACTTAAATATTCTCAAAACGAATAAAAAATCTGGCCAGTTTTTTGTAACAAAATATTATTGTCTTCCAACACAGGCTTCCCGACCAAGCCTGTGTTGGAAGACAACCAGATACGAGTTTTTAAACGAGGTGCCAAGAATATAATAACAATTCCAGAAATAAGAAATACTATTAAGCCATCTACATCTCCCTAAGAAATACTATTAAGCCATCTACATCTCCTTTTCAAACTAATCCTAAGAGGATTAGTTTGAAAAGGAGAAAAATGAAAAAGAAAAAAAAAAAAGTTTGGCCAAAATTAATTTTAATGATAAAAATACTTTTAATACAAATTTTATGGATGACTGTAAGGTAATAAAAGAAATGGAACGTCTAAACGTAAATTCAGTTTTTGAGGGAAGTGAGAATACCCAAAAAGAATATAAGAAGCGCGCAGAGTAGTCCCTTGCATACCTATCTCACAAACAAGTGTAGAAAGGCTTTTTTCTGCCCTTAAGTTTGTATCAATCAATCTGTGTTCTTTACTCAAACCTGATCTTTTAGATATTTTATTTTTAAGGATGAATCAAGATTTTGATTAACAAAATAAGCCTTAAGTTACTGTCATTAAACATTTTTAAAGAAATTTCTTTTTTGCGGAGCTGCTCTGGAGCTAGAGCCAGAGCTGGAGCCAAAAAATCTAATGGAGTCAGAACCAATTTTTAGACCTTGGCTCCAAGCCCTGTTAACTATTTTATATTTTATTGTTATAACATATTTTTATAGTTACAAAATTATAGAATGTTTTCAACCATTAATAGAATTTTGTCAACCATTTTTGAAACTAAGTGATAAATAAGATCACTTTTCAGTTTGCTGTTTTCATTTTCTTTTGATGGATTTATTTTTGATGAATTTTTTTGTACATTTTCAACTTTCATGGCTAATAATATACTTATGTTAGACTGCAACCAATGATCTACTAACAATGTAGCTAACAATTAAATAATGTCATCATGGCCAACATTGTCATAGTCTAAGTATTTATTGTAAAAAAGTATTTTTATTGCAATTGTAAAATAGTTTAATTTAAAAAAGAAAACATTAAATTAAAGTTAAATAACATAGTTAAAAAATTTTTTTATACTTGAAAATTGCCTAACGAAGTTAATAAAAAAATAAAATGCTCCAAGATTAAATTTTAGAACATATTTAACTTAAATGTTTTTTCATATTTAACTTGAATTTTTCAACATATTTAATTTTAAGTTTAAATTTAAGTTTAAATGTTAAGTTTAAACTTTTCATCAATTTTAATTAAAGTGTTTTAGTTAAAAAAAAATTAAAGTTAAATATGATTTTAAGATTAAAAGTTTTATTAAAAGTTTTATTTTTATTTTGAAGAAATGTAAAATATCATTGTAACTTTTTTACTAAAAAAACATTGTGTTTAATAAACATTAAAGTCTTCCCAACATTTATTATAATGTCAAAGCAACCAAATAAATTTACTTTTTCAAATAAGAGTTTTTTATAAGGAATTCTTTTCACAAATGGAATTGAAATTTTTTTATCTGATTAATTCAATTTTTAAATAATATTTTTTAAAGAATAATTCTGTATCACGATAAGTTCTTTTGACATACGTTTCATTTATGATCATAAATTAAGTTTACCAATATTAGCTTAGTAACTGATGAAATCTATCTATAAATTGTTCATAATATTTAATAATTGCTTCAGTAAATACTTATAAAAACAAAAAAACTAAATTGTGAGAAAGCAAACAAAAAATGATTTTTTTATGTTCAAGTTTGTTTTGAGAAATAAATGATAAGAAAAAAATAATTTTTTTCAAATAACTAATTTTGAAGTTATAGATCATACAATTTTTTGAAAAAATTAGAATATTATGAGATCAGAGGCATACCCCTTAAATGGTTTACTACATATTTAAACGAAAGAACAAAATTTGTTTCTATCAATGACACAAAATCTACCCTTGTAAAATGTTCTAATGGTGTTCGTGAGGGTTCAGTATTGGGAACACTGCGTTTCTTTCTTTATATTAATGATCTTCATACATCCATTAAGTTTGCTACTGTTTACCACTTTGCTGATGATACTAATCTAATGCTAGTTAATAAATCCCTCAAAAAAATTAACAAACATTAACCATGATCTTGCCAATTTAGTTCAGTGGATCACTCCAACAAACTTTTTCTAAACTCTAATAAAACTGAACTCCTTATTTTTAAATTAAATATAACAAAAAATCTATAAACATATGAGCTTTAAATTAAGTGGCAAAAAAATTGAACCTATTAACTCAATTAAATATCTTGGTATAAAAATAGATTTAAATCTTTCCTTTTTATCCCACTGTAAAGACTTAGCAATGAAAATAAGTAGATCTAATAGCATGTTGGCCAAAATTCGCTGTTATGTTAATCTTGAGACGCTCTTGAACATATGCCATGCTATTTTTGGCTCACATCTTAGATATGCATTCCAAGTATTAGGGCAGTTCCATCAACATGCTTTTATTAGGTCACCTCTCAAACAAGGTTTGAAAATTATTTATTTCCAGAATACTAATTTTAATCCTAATGTGCTCTACCTAACTTCCAAAGTATTAAAACTGTGTGACTATATTAAATTTTTAAACTGTCAATTTGTCTGGAACCACCAACACAATAACCTAACGTTACCTTTTATCAATTTCTTTTCCAAAAGTGCCAACACTCATTATCACCTTCTTTCTAATAGTAATTTAAACCTGTCTGTTTCTAAACACCGGTCTCATAATTACAGGCATAAATCTATAAAATATCAAAGCATTAAAACTTGGAACAACCTTCCTTATGAACTAAAAGCTCACAATTCATTCTTAACCCTTAAAACCAGTTTATTCTACTTTTTTTTAAAAAGATACAGTTAATGTTTATAATTTCTATAATCAATTTTGTTGTCTTTAGTCTTGTTTTTTTAATTTCTATGATATATTTTGTTGTCATTACTATTGCTTATTATTATTGTTATCATTATTATTATTGCTATTATTGCTATTATTATTATTATTATTATTATTATTATTATTATTATTAACATTGTTATTTTTATGTTATAAAGTTTATTATTGCTATTATATATTTTGTAAATTAGCATTATAATTGTTTTAGTTAGATATTATTAACATTAATAGGTGTTTACTTTATATTAGTAAATTTACTATTTGTAAACATCTTAGAATGTAAAATCTGAATTCAGAAATAAATGATTGATTGATTGATGTCATAAATAATATGTGTTACAGTTATGTTTTTTAAAAGATTTTTAACATGGTATAAAATTAAATTTAATTATAATGTGGTACTTTAAAATGCGGTGTGACACAATTTAAATTTTAACGATGTAAATATGTAAGCTTTGTTGAGTTATGTTTACATGTGTTATGGTTTTCTGTTACGCAATGAAATCTTGTAACAAAGCCTGTATTAAGTATATTAATATTAAATAGTTTATATTAGTATATTTATTATACATTAATAATAATATTAAAAAACATTGTTTAAAAAATTATAGATTTTTTACAAATATGCTGTCCAATCACTTTCTGTTAGTTCAACAACTACCAGTTAGTTCATCTAATAACTTTTTTTTAAAAAAATTTTGTATTTCTTTAAAGTAACCTTTATGTATTAAAACTGCTGCACAAACTTTCCACATTCTTTCCACTAATTTCTTAAATGTAAGTGATAGTGTTGCACTCCAATGCTGTTGCAAGTTTTCCCAGACTTCTTGATAGGTTGGTTGCTTTAATAAAAACTTTATTTGATTGCAACCTGGTGACTGAGCAACCCACTCTATATATGATAATATTTTTGCACGTTCTTTCAATAAAAGATAATTATTACTCAATTTTGGTCTTTGTTTAGGGTTGATATCTATTTTAATAAAAGTTAAGCAATTCTTTATGCTAAAAAATCATTATGTTAACAAAGTGATCGATTGTCTATGATTCTTTGTCCAGACAGAAAAACATGTTGCTGAAGAAGGAAATAATGAGTCTTATCAAGAGTTCCCTCAATTCTGACTTAATCTCCAATATAAATCCCATTGTGACCAGCAAAGCAACCCCTAACTGTCACAGAACAACCACCGCTACACATAATACACATATTTTTTTTTTTTAATCAATAATTTTGGAGACAGTGTTGCACAGTTGACATCGAAATTGGCTTGGATGTCTGCACTAGTTTTTTTACTAAGCTTGTATTTTTGATCCATTTTATAAATTAAAATTAAAAAATAATTTAAAATAGTTGCAAAATTTTAGCACACTTATTGCGTTACTTTGAAATTAAACATTGTTAATAGTATTTTCTTTGCACTTTAAATTATTTTTAATAGTGATCGAAAACTCTTGACTGATAGTATATATGATAAAAGTTATATATTCATTTTCTCTATTTTTTAAAAAATTGATTTTGTAAACCATTATTTATTTAAATATTTGTTTGATGATATAACATTTAAATAACAGTTTAATGTTTTAATATTAAGTAAATATTTTTTATTACTACTTTACTAGACTATACTTTATTTATTTTTTATTTATTATTTAGGCTAATGATTATATTTAACTTTTTTATATTTGTTTAACCTAACTTTGGCTTTTTAAATTCAAAGATACGTTTACTAAAATATTCTTGAAGAATGTGAAATATTCTTATTGAGATATTCTTTTAGATTCAAAGAGCACCTATTGTTCCACCAATTGCTCTTTTTTTGAAATCAAACCCAATTGTTGATGATTATAACATATCTTCATTGCAAAAAGTGATTGTTGGTGCTGCCCCTCTAGATGAAGTAGTTGCTTCAAGCCTTAATAAAAAGTTTCCAAACATTGGTTGGCAACAAGGTTAGTAGTTAGTTCTGTGTTTCATATATATATGTATATATATATATATATATATATATATAAATATATATATATATATATATATATATATATATATATATATATATATATATATATATATATATTTATATATATATATATATATATATATATATATATATATATATATATATATATATGTATATATATATATATATATATATATATATATATATATATATATATATATATATATATATATATATATATATATATATATATATATATATATATATAAATTACTCATTTCTTTTTACTCGCTTTTAAAATAATTTTTAAATTAAACATTTACAGGGTGGCCACAGTTCCTCTAAAATCCTCTAAAGTCCTCTTTTTTTGAAAAATCTCCTCTAAAGTCCTCTATTATCCTCTAAAAAGTTGAAAATATGATCAATTCTCCTCTATAACTCCTCTTTTTTTTTTTTTTTTTTGAAGTTTACTCAATTTTTAAAAATATTAAAAATAAATATATTTTTATTTAAAAATAATATTGTATTGTTTCGATTAGCAGATTTTTATTTTAGTTACAGTATTAATGTTTATATTAGTTACATTTTTTAAAAGGTTTTCTTATTCTTAAAACAATTTTAAAGAGTTTATATGCGTAGAAATTGATTTGAATGTAGTTATTTTTTAGTATGTCTACCATAAAGAATTTATTTGTTTTGTTTAGAAAGGTGTAAATAATGCCTAAGTATAAAAGTAAATTTAAAGACTTGTGGCTCATTGAAGAGGAGTTCAAATGCTGGTTGCAAAAAGATAAAAAAGATGAAGCAAGTGCATTTTGTAAAGTTTGTTCGAAGTCCTTTAGCATTGCAAACAGTGGAATAAAAATAAAGCAGCATGCAAAAGGGAAGAAACATGTGGAAAGATGTCAATCTAATAGCAGTAAGACAAGTTTTTTCAAAAGGTTTTCTGAAGGAACTAATCCACTAGAATAAAAAACAGCTCAAAAGCAAACAAATTTAATTGATATGATGTCAAGAGATCAGATATTAAATGCAGAGGTAATTTGGTCACTAGAAGTTTTGAAATATAAATATTCTTACCGTTCTTCAGAATCAAAAAGTAAACTGTTTTGCTCCATGTTTCCAGACAGTCAAATTGCTCAAAGTTTCACTTGTGGAAAAACAAATTGCAGTTACATTTTATGTCACGGTGTTGCCCTCTTTTGTTAAAGAAACAATGCTAAACGAATTGAACAAAGTTCCTTATTATATCACATTATTTGATGAATCTTATAACAAAATTTCTAAAAAAAGTCAAATAGATTTACATGTTCTTTTTTGGGATGACACAGAAAATAAAGTAAAAACATCTTGTTGGAGTTCTGAGTTCTTGGGTAAAGCATCTCCTGGTGATGTTTTTTCAAAATATAATAATTGTTCAAGTTCTTTGGATCGTAGTAAAGTCCTCCAAGTTCCTACTGACGGGCTGTAAATTTAAAAATGTAAATGAGCTGACTATGAATGTCTAACAGCTGCTACTTTTTCCAATTACCCTCTTAAATTTTGTGCACACAGATGGATTGAAAATAGAAATGTTTCCAAACGTGCCCAAATGATTTGGCCTAATATAATTGAAGTTTTAAAGTTTTGGAAAGGCTTACCAAAATCGAAGCAACCTGGAAACGGAAAGCCTGGACAAAACACCAGTTTTGATTGTCTTGCTAAAGCTGTGGAAGGTGTCACTATACCAATGAAACTTAGATTTTTTGAGGAAATCACAACATCATTAAATGATTTCTTAATTATTTTTCAAACCGACAATCCAATGGTGCCATTTCTTACAGAGTCCCTAGACAATGTCCTTCGTAATTTATGCAGCCGCTTTTTGAGAAAGGATGTTTTAGAAAAAGCAAACTCTGTATATGAGCTGCTCAAAGTTAACTGATAAAGTTAATCAAGTGTTATTGGAGTCTGTTGATCTTGGTTTTGCTATAAAACATGATATCAGAGTTTTGAAAAAAAATGGAAAGTTGAGCGATGGTCGTTTACCCAATCTTCAGTATGGCACTTTACAGTTCTTATCTAGTATATGTACGCATTTTACACAAAAAAGTATATTGAAAAATAATCTTGTTTGAAGTACTTCTTGTTTGTCTCCTTAAGTTATGTTGGAACCGACAGCGTTATCAACAGCTTTATTAGACAAAATGCTTGAAATCCTTGTTGGTTTGAAAAACTGACAAAATTTGACTCAAAATTTTTGTCAAATTTTGTAACGGTTAGCACAGAACTATTCAAAGAATTTAAAGAATCTAAAGATCGGTTAGACTCGTTTCTCTGGAAGCACATTGGTTCAGATCCTAACTAAAAATCTCTTTGGTCTGTTGCCCAAATTGTTTTAGTTCTATCTCACGGTCAGGCAACTGTTAAACAAGGATTTACTGAAAATAAAATGCTTCTTGTTGAAAATCTTGACATGGAAAGTCTTATTTCTCAACGATTAATATTAGACTATATGAAATGAAAAAGTTTTGAACCTCACAGTTTTCCCATGTCAAAGAATTTGTTATCGTATGTTAAATCTTCTTGTCAAAAATATCAACAACCACTTGTTCATAAATCTAAAATCAAATTGAGGAAGAAGAAGAATGAAAAAGAGATTGAGATTGCTTTAGAAATTCAGGAAATAAATATTAAGGTTGCCTCTTTGGAAAAAAATATTATCCAGCTTCAAAAAGATGCTGATAACTTTGCATTTGAGGCAGAAAAAAAGAATGATATAACTATCTTATCCAAATGTAATGCCTTGAAAAGAGCTGGAATTGACAAAGAGAGTATTCTCTGTAATAAAAAATATATAAATTTTTATTTCATGTAATTAAATTTCATTTATTGATTTTAGTATGTTATGAATACCCTGGTCTGCAAAACTGGTTAATGCCAGGAAGGCATAGATTGGGTTGTAAAAATTGCCTCAGCAATCTAAGTCATTTAACTTAATAAATTGCAAATTAAAAGTCTTTTAGAGCCACCCATGTGACAAAACATGGATGTTAAACCTATATAAAAATCTCATCTAAAATCCTCTACTTTTATTAAAAATTTTTCGCGATTAAAAATCCTCTAAATTTGATGCAAAATCTCCTCTAAAATCCTCTAATATCCTCTTTTTTTTATGAAAATTTTGTGTGACCACCCTGATTTAATAAAAACATTAAATAATTGTTTTATCTTTAATGATGTTTAAATCTTCTTTTTCAAAGAGTATTCAATAAGTTCTATTTTTTTATATGCCATACCTCAAACATATTATCATTAGTTATACTTACAATAACCCCAACAAACATTTGTGTTGTCTTTTTGTTACCCTGATTGAACATTCAACATTGATCAGGTCTTAAAAACAAAGTTTTTTAAATTAAACTAAAAATATTTTTAATATCTTTTTTTTAACTTTTAATCTGAGTTATCTACACAACTGTTTGACTTATTTACATAACTTTCTATTTGAATTGTCTATGTTACGTACAGATTGCAAAATTGTGCATTTCACAAAATGTGTAATTTTTCACTCATTTTGAGAACTGGATAGCATTTTTGGGCAGATTGTGAAATGTTGAGTTTTTATTGTTGATTTTTAAACAGTTATATTTATTATATATAATATATATTCAATATTGACTAAATAGGGAATAGTGCAGTGGATTGTATACACATCACCTGGTTATATATATTAAAATATGCAAAATATATATTTAAAAAAATATATAAATATATATTTCAACTTTTTTAGTATTAGTATTAGCATAAGTTTATGATGTGACTGGTATTGCTACCAGTGAGTGTGGTTTTTATCACACTAAGACAGCTGTTTTTTGTGGTGATTTGACTCACGTCGATCTAGTCTTGCTCTAAAAGAATTTACTGAAGTAGCTTTAACAACATTTTTTGTCTGTTCATTCCAATAGCTTGCAGCTTGATTTAGTAAAATGTTTCCTCTGTAATTATGTATAGATAATTCTTTAGAATATTTTATGCTATGGCACAAGTACAATTTGATTTGAAGGAATAATTTTCTTCAAATTAAACTTATTTATTGTAATCTTTACAGATTTTTATACAGTTGTATCATGTTGCCTCATTGTCTTCTTTTAACAATTGAGGGCAATTTAAAACAAGTAAATCAATCTTTATTGCATAATTTACTGATTTAAGGTATTTATTTAGTGGCACGACGCTGTACTCTTTCTAAACTGGCAATAACTTAATAAGTGGTTAAATAAAATAAAGATTTAGACATTTTAAAAGTCCTGCCTCAAGTATAAGATTTCCTTTTTATGCCCAACATGCGATTTGCTTTGCTTGCACTTAATAATACTTGATTTTTCCACTTCAAGTTGTCTGAAAAAACTAATTTTCTGAATTTGTATAAATTATTTATTATACTCATAGTGCATAACTAAACATCTGCCAATATTAAAACTAAGCAACTAATTGTGTCAATGTCTGTCTGTAATCAATCTGTCCTTGCATATGCATAGTTTAAGTTGTGCTGTAGTTTATTATGTAACTCATCAGAGGAACCAATTAACATGATTTTTATATCATCAGCATACAATTTTGAAATATTTTTCGGAGACTCAGGAAAATCATTTATATAAAGTATAAAAAATAGTGGACTTGATACTTTTAAACTTTTGCCTTGAGGAACTCCACTATACACCTCAGCCTAATTTGAAACATCTCCCATAACAACTCTCTACCTTTTGCTAGATAAAGAAGCTCGAAAGCAAAGAAGTGCCAAGCAACAAACACCATTGCTTTAAGTTTTGAGATAAGTCATTGATATGAAGCTGTATCAAATGCTTTTGCAAAATCAATCAAAATCAAGTAAAACTACTTCAGCAGCAATTCCTTGATCAAAGTTTCTTGTAATATAATCCAGAGTTTCATTTAAATTTGTTGTACATGACCTGTTTTTAACAAAACCATTTTGAATTTTTGAATTCAGTA